AATGCTTGTCACGTGACGTCTGTATTTTATACCTGTAAATTTGTACAATGCTTGTCACGTGACGTCTGTATTTTATACCTGTAAATTTGTACAATGCTTGTCACGTGACGTCTGTATTTTATACCTGTAAATTTGTACAACACTTGTCACGTGACGTCTGTATTTTATACCTGTAAATTTGTACAACACTTGTCACGTGACGTCTATTTTATACCTGTAAATTTGTACAATGCTTGTCACGTGACGTCTGTATTTTATACCTGTAAATTTGTACAACACTTGTCACGTGACGTCTGTATTTTATACCTGTAAATTTGTACAATGCTTGTTACGTGACGTCTGTATTTTATACCTGTAATATTTGTAGAATGCTTGTCACGTGACGTCTGTTTTTTATACCTGTAAATTTGTACAATGCTTGTCACGTGACGTCTGTTTTTTATACCTGTAAATTTGTACAATGCTTGTCACGTGACGTCTGGACTTTATCCGCTTAAAACTTGTCATTGCAGAAAACTGGAAGAAGACTACATCGACTTTGCCACCAAGATCGAGCGGGAGTCTTCCCTGTCGGACATGACGGAGCCTGGCACGGCCGTGTGTCCAGTCTGTAATAAAAGCCAACTCATCTTGAACCGTGACGGGACTGGGTCAAGCATGACCGTCTGTGTGGACTGTGAGAAGAGGACGTGTGCCGACTGTGGGGAATATCAAACGTCACTACAGACTAAGGTGAGGGGATTGTGGGGAGGGGAATTGTGGGGGAGGGGAATTGTGGGGAGTGGAATTGTGAGGAGAAAATTGTGGGGAGGGGAATTGTGGGGAGGGGAATTGTGGGAGGGGAAGTGTGGGGGTAATTGTGGGGAGGGGAATTGTGGGGAGGGGAATTGTGGGAGGGGAATTGTGGGGAGGGGAATAGTGGGGGATGGGAATAGTGGGGGATGGGAATAGTGGGGGAGGGGGATTGTGGGGGAGGGGAATTGTGGGGAATCGCTTGACTTGCTATGTCCACACTAGAAGTGGTGGACAATGAGACTAGGCAGTCATGGTTGACTTGCTATGTCCACACTTGAAGTGGTGGACAATGAGACTAGGCAGTTATGGTTGACTTGCTATGTCCACACTAGAAGTGATGAACAATGAGACTAGGCAGTTATGGTTGACTTGCTATGTCCACACTTGAAGTGATGGACAATGACCACACTTGAAGTGATGGACAATGAGACTAGGCAGTTATGGTTGACTTGCTATGTCCACACTAGAAGTGATGAACAATGAGACTAGGCAGTTATGGTTGACTTGCTATGTCCACACTTGAAGTGGTGGACAATGAGACTAGGCAGTCATGGTTGGTATGCTATGCTCACACAAGAAATGGTGAACAGTGAGAATTGGCAGTCATGGTTGCTATGCTCACACTAGTTTTAGTTGGGAGTATTTATGTTATCTAAAATAGATTTCATGTTAAAAAATTAGTTGTTGTTGTTATTTTGATTGTTGGACACAGGATTTGTTGGACACTTTTTTTTTTGCTTTCTGTGCACTTATTGGCGAATGTCACGTGGTCAGGTCTGTGTTTGACGGTAATGTCTAAAGAAAACAAAACAGAAATGATGAGTGTGTACCACTTAAGAAGTCTTGACTTTATTTCATTACAGCATATGACCCCGTGACGCATGTCAGTTAGAGAACTAATGGTAACCACACATTTGCATTGATAGCAATTTACAAAGCAAATATTTCAAACACAAGGGTCGTGACCCCAATGAGGTTCTGACCCTAATGAGTTCGTGACCCCAATGAATGAGGTTCTGACCCTAATGAGTTCGTGACCCCAATGAATGAGGTTCTGACCCTAATGAGTTCGTGACCCCAATGAATGAGGCTCTGACCCTAATGAGCTCGTGACACCAATGAGGTTCTGACCCTAATGAGTTCGTGACCCCAATGAATGAGGTTCTGACCCTAATGAGTTCGTGACCCCAATGTATGAGGTTCTGACCCTAATGAGTTCGTGACCCCAATGAATGAGGCTCTGACCCTAATGAGTTCGTGACAACAATGAGGTTCTGACCCTAATGAGTTCGTGACCCCAATGATTGAGGTTCTGACCCTAATGAGTTCGTGACCCCAATGAATGAGGTTGTGACCTTAATGAGTTCGTGACCCCAATGAATGAGATTGTGACTCTGAGTTCGTGACCCCAATGAATGAGGTTGTGACCCTAATGAGTTCTTGACCTAAATGAATGAGGTTGTGACCTTAATGAGTTCGTGACCCCAATGAATGAGGTTCTGACCCTAATGAGTTCGTGACCCCAATGAATGAGATTGTGACTCTGAGTTCGTGACCCCAATGAATGAGGTTGTGACCTTAATGAGTTCGTGACCCCAATGAATGAGGTTCTGACCCTATTGAGTTTGTGATCCCAATAAATGAGGTTGCGCAGCCATAATTTGATAACAATTTTGTTTTTGTAATTGATATCTCGAAGTATGAAGATATCATTAAATTCCCCTTTGAATACATCATGAAATTCTCCTTTGAATGCGTCATAAAATGCCCTTTGAATACATCATAAAATAGAACCTTAAGTTCAGGGGGTACTTTAGTCAAAGGGTCCTTCCTTTAGTCAAAGGGTCCTTTCTTTAGTCAAAGGGTCCTTCCTTTAGTCAAAGGGTCCTTCCTTTAGTCAAAGGCTCCTTCCTTTAGTCAAAGCGTCCTTCCTTTAGTCAAAGGGTCCTTCCTTTAGTCAAAGGGTCCTTCCTTTAGTCAAAGGCTCCTTCCTTTAGTCAAAGCGTCCTTCCTTTAGTCAAAGGGTCCTTCCTTTAGTAAAAGCGTCCTTCCTTTAGTCAAAGGGTCCTTTCTTTAGTCAAAGGGTCCTTTCTTTAGTCAAAGGGTCCTTCCTTTAGTCGAAGGGTCCTTTCTTTAGTCAAAGGGTCCTTCCTTTAGTCGAAGGGTCCTTTCTTTATTCAAAGGGTCCTTTCTTTAGTCAAAGGGTCCTTCCTTTAGTTACGAAAGGGTCCTTTCGACACGTTTGTGGGTTGGTGGTAGTGTTTCCTACCTCGGCTTTAAATGCTTAGAATTTCCAACAACTATGAACGTCATTGATAGCAATACTAATAATGAACACTGCCATAACCTTGTAGCCTGAAGGAACAATAATGACCCCTTGCTACCGCGGGACACCCAACAATTAAAAAATACCTAATTCACATTCTCTGGTCACCCAACAACAAACACCCCCTAACACACATACTCGGATCTCCCAACAATAAACACCCTCTGACACACATACTCGGATCTCCCAACAATACACACCCCCTAACACACATCCTCGGCTCTCCCAACATTAAACACCCCCTCACACATGCGGTCTCCACGAAGATCAAACATCCTTTATTTGGTGACGTTTCTAATAATAACCCCTCCCGATTGGCTTGAGGCCACCAACAATCGACGTCACCGAAGAGTAAGTAGAGTTAGCTCCCTGCCCAAGTCATGGCGGCCTGTGCCCGTGCATCCCTTGCCCCAATCGTCTCCCATCAGTGACGTCATGGGAGCGATGCAGTGAATCGACTTTTCTCGGGGCTGTTGCTGTAGCGCCGAGCCTTTACGAGGTTTCGGATCGGAAAACAATCTGTTGAGGGTCAGGCTTTCTTGACTTGGGTGTGCCGTCCCCCTAGATCGTTGTCTCATCTCTGATTCTCTAGGAACAAAATGGAGGTCATGGGGGGGGAAGGGTGGGGGGGGGTGCGGTTGTCTTATTGATTTCTTGAATTTTGAGCCGTGTAAAGATATTGCAGTGTGTAAAAGAGCATTTGGGTTATTTTTAGGAATATGGCGCAGTGGGGCAGGAAGGGGCGGCGGTCCGCCCCGGGCAGCACTCGCCCTAGTTACGCCACCAATATGGCGTGACCAAATGTCTGAATGTTATATATACATACATATACACATTTTTATGTTAATTTTTTTCTACATGTGAGTTTTGCAGTGTGTCACGTTTCTGTGTGTGACAGTTTTGCGGTGCGTCACGTTTCTGTGCGTGACAGTTTTGGGGTGTGTCACGTTTCTGTGTGTGACAGTTTTGAGGTGTGTCACGTTTCTGTGCGTTGCAGTTTTGCAGTGTGTCACGTATCTGAGCGTGACCGATTTGGGGTGTGTCACGTTTCTGTGCGTGACAGTTTTGGGGGTGTCACGTTTCTGTGCGTGACAAGTTTGGGGTGTGTCACGTTTCTGTGCGTGACAGGTTTGGGGTGTGTCACGTTTCTGTGCTTGACAGGTTTGGGGTGTGTCACTGTAACACATGCTATTCTATTGTCGATATAACATGGTTAGCTAATACTTTGCTCACTGCCGCTATCACTGGAATCATTAATTCTCTCACTCCTCATCTGTTTTCTCAAACAACGAAGTGGTAACGTCCAGTGAAATTATACAGTACTTTATTATATAAATTAACACTACAGTAATAAGACTTGCCAGGAGGATATTCTGCAATAAATCTAGGATGCAATAATCACACACTTATTCAATATTCCACATCACAATTAAATCACAATACTTCAATACTTCAATACTGTAACATGTCAATAATCCATATGAGAGAAATAAAACATGTCTGCCAAACCTGTCGGATAAAATTCGTGTACTGCCTCGCTCTACTTAACGTCCATGTGTCCATTTGCTAGTCCAACAATTTGTAACGCCCTTCCTGTCGATCTGAGAAACAACCAGACACAGGAGTCCTTTAAAACCGATTTAAAGACACCTTCTGGGATGATTGTCTACCTTATTTTCCAGTTAATGCATAATGGCTGTGTTGCTCCGGGTTGAAATGGCTAGAAAGACTTTGAGATTGTATGCTTGTAATTAGTTTTTGTAGTGTTGCGTTTGTTTTAAATGTGGTAAATTATAGATTTGTATTTCGTTGACTTTGTACCGCGCTTCGAGCCTTTGGGGATGAAGCGTGTTTTTGAAATGAACTTTATTATTATTATTATTATTATGTGTGTGACAGTTTTGCGGTGTGTCACGTTTATGTGTGTGACAGTTTTGTGGTGTGTCACGTTTATTTGTATGTGAGTTTTGGGGTGTGTCACGTCTATGTGTGTGTGTGTGAGTTTTGGGGTGTGTCACGTTTATGTGTGTGTGAGTTTTGGGGTGTGTCACGTTTATGTGTGTGACAGTTTTGGGGTGAGTCACGTTTATGTGTGTGTGAGTTTTGGGGTGTGTCACGTTTATGTGTTTGAGTTTTGGGGTGAGTCACGTTTCTGTGTGTGTGAGTTTTAGGGTGTGTCACGTTTATGTGTTTGAGTTTTGGGGTGTGTCACGTTTATGTGTGTGTTAGTTTTGGGGTGTGTCACGTCTATGTGTGTGTGAGTTTTGGGGTGTGTCACGTTTATGTGTGTGTGAGTTTTGCGGTGTGTCACGTTTATGTGTGTGTGAGTTTTGCGGTGAGTCACGTTTCTGTGTGTGTGAGTTTTGCGGTGAGTCACGTTTCTGTGTGAGTGAGTTTTGGGGTGTGTCACGTTTATGTGTGTGTGAGTTTTGGGGTGTGTCACGTTTATGTGTGTGTGAGTTTTGCGGTGTGTTACGTTTCTGTGTGTGTGAGTTTTGCGGTGTTTCACGTTTATGTGTGTGTGAGTTTTGGGGTGTGTCACGTTTATGTGTGTGTGAGTTTTGGCGTGTGTCACGTTTATGTGTGTGACAGTTTTGGGGTGTGTCACGTTTCT